TTGAAGGCAAGGGGCCATAGCAGGAGGCCTTAACAGAGGTAATGAGCCAACTCCACTTTTGGCAGTGAGCTTAAACAGGAAAGGACAACTTGGAGTGATACGTCAACGTGGGAAACAAGATACCTTAGTGACAGATTAGATATGAGGCCTTTAAGAAAGAGACGAGTTACAGCTTTTTGTATATTTTCTCCCTTGCAGAATAGAGATCTGAACAGGGATAGTGAATTAAAAAAAAACCAAACTGAAACCCATGTGAATCATAGAAAGTCAGAGAGAACTAACTTTATAGTTTATTCATAAACCTTAAATATAGTAAGGCATGGAAAGGCATATATAGATTTGAAATAAAGATAAGACACCTTAGAGACTTTGTCCCATAGATATTTGGAAATAAGGAACCAAGATGAGAGATGGAATCTGAATGGTGTGTCCACCCCTTCACAAAGTATGAGGAGCAGGAGTAGTCATAAGAGGAGGGTATATTTCCTTAGAGAGTAAGTGGAGAAAGATGTCTGGAATGCTCAGGCCTCTAAGACACTTGTAATTAGAGTGGGAGACTGAAGAAGAGAATACAGTTGAGACAGAAGAAATGCTTGAAAAGAAAGGAAAAACACCAGGAAAGAATAAACTCTACAGAAATAATTCATTTCTCTTGGAAGCATTTGAATTTCACAGAGGCTTGGCATTTGCTACCTTCAACTCTTTTTTTCCTGAGACCATGGATATCATTCAGGTTTGAGGGATAATCTGATATAGCACAAATGTGATACTAGCCACTAGTTAAACAAACATGATGCCATGACTTTGGAAGCATGGTCTACCCAACTGCTAATTGCTTGTGGACACCTGTAGGCGTGGAAATGTCATGATGGCTTTTCAGTTTGAAACTTACAATGCTTTCATATTTGTCTCATCATCAGTCATTCTCAAAGTAAGGACATGCTGCCTTCCATGCTTTAAAGGCATAGAGAAGAATGAGGTAGCAGTCAGCATGCCTCCACTCACCAGCTCCAGTGGCTTCCCATCACCATTAGGACAGAAACCAAAACCCCTTAGAGTACCTTGCAGAGCCTCACAAAAGCTGTCTTTGTATCCATTGTGTAATACTTGATTGTATCTTCTATATCAATAGTAGCCATTCATCTATTTTATATTCTTTCCAAACTGAGCTATTAGCTCCATATGAACCTTGCATAGGGCCAAACTGCAGAAGTATGTAAATAGAAAGAAAGAGAGAGCAAACCAGCTCAGCAGTAGGAAGGTTGTTTATTGTTGGGTTTTGTCCACAAATACAGCTGAATAAACCACAACTTCCCCATCTTTCATTTGGAACATAGATGGTTATTAGCTCAATTTCTAGTAAGAAAGATCAGGGCTCTAGAAGGTTGAAATGACTGGTATCCAGGTATTAGCTTTGGCTCCAGCCTGTTAAGGAAAGGATCTGCCCCTTTCTCTTGCTATGAATATCCCAAAGGCTCTTGCCACATTATTTTCTGCTACTATAACCACTCCTCCTCCCCGCTGCAGCTCATGAACTGTCCCACACTCCCCTTAAAACAGTGTCTGTGGCTCCCTCTACATCTCTCAGAGGGCCATTCATGCATTACATTTGACACAAAACTGCCTAGTCTTCCAGGTGTTTTTAGGTTTCATTAGTATGTAGGAGGTGCTTTTCCATTGTAATAGGCAGTTCTTAGATTGCCAACAACTGCATCCATATGATGACAGATAGTGACACTGGTGCTGCCACCAAGGACAAAAAGATTCATCAGAGACCAAGAGACTAGTAATAAGCTCTGAGAGAAATCAAGGCTATTTTACCTGAAAGGGAAGATGAGATGGCTAATCCGCTGAGTACTTAGTCATCTACTCAGTACTACTACAGAGTCTTCTGTGCACCAGAGACCGAGCTCAGTACTGGAAATAGACCAGTCACAAAGACATTCCATCCCTGGAGGATACCAAGACACATTTTAGATGACTCGTATTCATTATACTTCAATCGATAGTAACATAGAGAGAGCTAAGAAACCTATCCCAGTCTTACTGGAACTGCTGTTCCTTGTACAAGTATCACTTTAGACCAAGAGAGAAGAAAGAATAGGAGTTTGCCACAGGGTGGCAGTGGAGTAGGGACTAGTGACAAGAAAATTGCCTGTCCTGTGGCTCTAAGCATCTGGGAGCTGTCAGTTAGAGAAGGCCAGTGCAGAGGTCAGATGATGAAGGGAGGGGGTCAAGGATGCCAGAAGAGAAAAGGTGTGGGAGAATGATAAGAGACTGGAGAAATAAGTAGAGCAAGACTTAGCTACATAGATCTGATCAGAGACCAGGCAGGTAGTGACTCCAGCAAGTGAAGACTGGAGTGGGGGTAATGAAGATTTAAGGCCTGTAATCCAAACAAAGAGATGATGGTAAAGGGCAGAGAAACTAGATTTATTGTGCTACCTGGGCAGCTGCAGGAAAAGTAAACCCTTCTGCCCATCTTCAGAAATCTTTAGGATATAGACAAAAGCTTTAGGTTTGACTAGACAAAGACTGGAGGGGCAAGAGAAGAAGGATATGCATAATTATTAAATAAGCTTGGTCAAAGTGTGGCCTGGTTGATGATTATGGGGGCGGGGGGCTCTAGAGAAATCATTGTCACTGTCATCGCTTGGAGGGAACAGTGATGGTTAGGATGAACAAGACATGGTTGCCTGGTAGATGGTTTGTCCTGAAGAGAAATTCAGCTATTCCTTTCCTTTGGGTAGTTGCCTCCATCCTTTTTATAAAGATGTTACTGACCAATCCCATTCTTCCTGGAAACCAGGGTGATTGCAAAGTAAACGCAGACAGATATAAAATGGAAGAGAGGATGCCACCTTTTCTCCTGCTTTTAGTTAATTTGTAGGTCCAGGTAAGGTGTCAGTGCTTTTCAGCAAAAGCAGCTTAAATACTGTTATGTAAATACATTGTAAAAATCTTGCACATCCTAGGAAGCTAATAAAGATTAAATTTATATAAACCCTGCTAATAAGTCAAAGCACATATCTAAAAATGATTTCTTGTTAGAGATCCATGATATCAGTAATTTTCTCAATGTTTACCTATTATTCTCTTTATTTTAGACTATAAAATTAGAACATAATAAAGCAGACCAGTGCAAATGTCTAGTACATTGTCTTTTTTAAATCTGAAGTTACAGAAAATTTCTCTCAGAAAATAAAAAATGAGATTGTATAATATCACCACCCCACACATCTTCACCAATGTTGTACAAGTCCAAAAAAGGAGAAAAACTCTTCTTGTCATTTTTATTTAATGGATCATCTTCACTATAGAGAAAGATGTTTTATGTGCTTTGGAGATGGTCAGAAATTTCCAAGCCATTTGGCTTGAGAGAGCTTTAAATAGGGAATGAATTTAATGTACCTTTAATTCTCTCAAGTAAGAGAAATCCAGCTGAGGTTTGATCCAGGACAAAATCTGCCCTTGACACTAGAAAATCTGTCACATTAATCCTCCTGGCTCAGAATGAAAAGCTGAGAAACAGAGTGCCCAGGATAGAATGACGTGCCCGGACAAACACTTTGAAACAAACTTTAAAACAGAATGACTTCAGACAGTACCAGGTCTTGGTGTGGAATCATCAGCACTTAAGAAAAAGTAATTATGCTTGAGAAACATAGATAATTAAATGTAACATAGTGCATAAAAGTAGAAGAAGACTATAGCTTAACTTTCCTGCTCCAATAATGTGACATATCACATAGATAAATAGTAGAATTTGTAAAATTTCATTTCACACTAGCATAGAAGAGATGGAGAGAAAAATTATGTCACCAGAAAATGACAGGGTAGATTTGCTAAGATTGCTATCATATACTGTATTTAAAGCAAAAATCTAATTGCTGTAATTTATCATACTTCTAGATATTAAAACCTTACTGATTTAAAGATTTTAATCATTTGCCATTTTTGCTCATAGTGACTTTTTATAGAAGATACTATGAAAATTTCTGATTTCATCAGCCTTTGTATGATTTTTAGGAGCTCCTATGCATAATTAACATATTTTAAATATATAATTGTGTTTGCAAAAGTAATAAAAATTCCATGTATATTCCTTTTAGTCTGTTCAATGGAATTTCTGGAGCTGCTTTATAATTGCAGAGCCTAATGTGTGAGAATGTAGGCTGTTAGGCCCACTTTTAATTCCCTCTGAACACATCTAGCATTGTAAAGAGCAGGGTGCACCCCACCCTTCCTTTAGGTTTGTAGAGAAGATGTTTTTTAGGGATCAGAGAAATTTGAAAGACATGATTCTACTGACTTTGGCATGAATTTGCCCCTTAGTCTAGAGAAAAGAATCACTGAGATAAGGCCTCTTCAAAAGAAAAGAAACATTAAAAACATTAAATTATACTCTGTCCCTTGATTAGAAAAAAAGGATGATACACAATAGGAAAAAAAAAAAAAAGACTATCTAGGATAAAGATGACCACTACAGGGAGAGAGGGTGGAGGAAAAAAGATATAGGCTGGAAAATAGCCAAAGGCAAAATTATTTCTCAGCTGTGGGTGTGGGAAGCCTTGGGGAAATAAAATCCATTTCTATTTCAACATAACTTACAGGCTGCATCCAATTGTCTCCACCCTGGGAGAAGCTTGGTAGTTTGATGGATTTTGTGCACCTCGTAAGACCAAACTATGATCTTATATACCAGAGTGCTCATCAGGGTAGCTTGGCGATCTAATCCTGTGCATTTATTAAAATATAGCATTATTTCCAAACAAAAGAAGCAATGTACAAATCAGTTTCCTAATCACCTATTCCAGACTAAACCTGTACCACCATTCCATGTGGTCATAGAGTCAAGAAGCCAGCTTCCACCCCTTTATTCCTCTTTGCCTCTTTCCCTCCGAATCTGCTCCCTAGATGTTACCTCCAAGACCTTCTCCTTTCCTTGTCTCTCAGCATGGCCCCTCTGCCTGATAAATAACCAAGTCTTCATTCTACAGGTGCAAAGTTCCCCATTAAGTGGACAGCCCCTGAAGCAGCCCTGTATGGGAGGTTCACAATCAAGTCTGATGTGTGGTCTTTTGGAATCTTACTCACAGAGCTGGTCACCAAAGGAAGAGTGCCATACCCAGGTAAGAACAGAACCCTTGGAAATGGACCTCTGATGGAGCTTCTTCTGATACCCTCTGGGGATATCTCATCCATTTGTCTTTCTAACCCTGAACTCAGCAGTGTGCTGGGCAAGAGTTTGAAGAACAAAAACAGGTATTTCTTTAGCGAGAGGAAAAAGCAGAATCAGGAGCCACAGTGACATCCAGACAAGCAACCACCATGACCTGTGTGCCAGGATTGATGTAAGGAGCAGCCGGTGTGAAATTTCAGTGCTCTGAGTATGTGGAATCTCTCCACTCTCAGTAGGGGCATGTGTCACCATTCCCAGAGCCCAAGTGTCACTGGCAGAGCCTCAGCCCAAATGGAGTTTACACATACGTCTGGAAAAGAGAAGGAGAAAAAACACCCACTGCTTTTTGATCACACTGTGGTACTGACCCATGGAGGGAACTTGGCAGGAAGATACAGGGACCTGTTCTCTCTGCAGGGCCCAGCTCCAGATGGCCAGAGAGCAGAAACAGGACAGGCAGTTTAGCCACCATTCTCTGCCTGTTGCTGAAGAGTTAAAATATAACGCTTTTCAGAAGCAAGTATAATGTAAGGGAACTGGAGAGTCTTAGACACTGGAATTGTTCTGGATTATCAGATGCATGCTCTTAAAAAAAAACATGGATTGAGGTTATCCATGCTTAAATTCATTAATTTAGACAGATGGAGACATAAAGGACACTTGTACCATTTCACCTCCACGCTTTAGTGGTTATAGTGCAGGAACGATCTGCTTTTTGAAATGTTAAGGACATATTTTTTAGTTACTGCTGAACAAAGAAAGAACAGAGCTCTCCCTCATTCTCTGCCTAAAAAGGGAGAGCTGAAAGGAGGGGGAGAAAACAGCACAGTGATAGAAATGATAGTGGAGATTAATGAGGAATGTAAGTCTCTTGCAAATCCTGTGCTTGTAATCATATCTTTGCAGTCAGAGGAGCCAGGGAGAGCCGATTAATTCGTAATCCCTTTGTTCACTTTCTAAGATTCTTTCTGGTCATCTTCAGAAAACACAGAGAAAAGCATGTAAAAAGGATCTCCTTCAGGGGTTGGTATAACCTCCAGACCCCTAGGAGAGAGGGTTGGTACCCCAGCAAAATTGACAGAATCCGGTTTGTGACATACCCACACTGGCACTTGGAGATGCTGGTGTAAGTCAGGTTTATTGATGCTGTGGGTAGCTGCTGCTCCCAGCACGCACAAGTGGGCTGACACTCCAGGAAAGCCAAGCAGCACCGAAGAAAGGGTTTGGGAGGCCGGGGCTGAAGCACAGCATGAGTACTTTTGAATTGCTTCTCAAGGGGAAAAATGTGCCAGTCCGGGGATTTTTAAAGATGTAAAGGTACCTCTTTTTTTATTGTCTACATTTTGAACAGATTTCTTCCTGATCCCCCCAGGTTTCTAGTCACCTGATGTGTTAAATGCATTCATGAGAAAGGTTAATATTGTTAGCATTTCTGTGAAGCCTTTCCTTCTAGTAATACAAAACTGCTTCTTTTTGTTTCTTGGGGTCACATACAGAAGCCAAGACAAAGGAGAGGAGGTGGGGCCTCAGAGGAGGAAGGCAGGTGTATTTCTGAGACAGAGGCTTTTGTCAGGTTGGTTTTAGCACTTAGATTAGGATCCATTCACTCAGCATCTCTTCAGTCAGTGTGAGCTGTGCCAGGCATTCATTCCCCCAGGATTCAGTACAAGGAAGACACGCATGCCCTCCTGCAGCAATGACTACTGCCTGCCTCAGGCCAGGGTCTGTTCTAGGCAGTGAAGAGAGAGCACTGAACAAACGACTGTACCCCTGTACTCATGGAGCTTACAGTCAGCTAGCTAGAGCATGCATCAAGATCCAGGAAGAAGTCATTGTCATTTGTGACATATTTCTTGTGAGAGGAAGTTCTTCTTTAGGGGCAGATTACTTAAATGTGTGCTGTTGTGCCCCAACCTTAATTCTCATAATAGAGCTGAAGCACCTGCTTCAGATCCCTGCATACTATGGGATCTTTTCTCTTAGAATCTTGTGGGATGGCAAGGGAATCAGAAGAAGAACTGAGCCCAATGTATGATGCATAGTTATGTCAATGTACCAGTTTGGATATGCTAGAGGCTTGGATCCCTTCCTTTATTTGGTAGTGGCAGAACATGGTAGAGAAGACAAAGTAAACCAGACCTTGGAAGGCAAGTAGGGTTTTTATACATCATGGAAGTTAGGAGTCCCTAAGCCTCAGGACATAGGAGGCTGGACCAGTTCAAGGAGCCTCAGGGGTTGGGAAGAAGAAAAGGTATGTGAGATGAAGCCCCTGTAGTCAATTATATAGGGGCCTTGTGGACTGGCATGAGAGACATGGGAGCCCAGCTGGTTGGCAGTGGTAGCCAAGGAGCTGTCAGGGAAGAGGGTGATGTGAGCTGCTCCTCACCACAGAAAGCCACAAAAAAATTGTTCCCAGGCCTATTGTCCTAGTCATAGGCACTTCGTGGTTTTGTTTTTCTTTTAACTTAGCTATAATCATATTTAATTGGACTTCTGAATGTGACAGAAAATTCTTCTTGAGGGAGAAGCTTTTATGAAGGGATTGCAATTATGGGATTATTATCTTAATGAAGGATAACAATTCCAAGGCACAAACAGTTTCATTAAGCTTCATCCAGATGTCACTATGTTGGTGTGGCTAAGTCATTGTATACAGAAAGGGTGTGCGCTTTTCTTCAACTTCTTGCCTCAAGTCTTGGTGTCTGTTGATGTGACCCCAGGTCAGATTCCCAGCCCCCATCCAGCAGGCACTCCCATTCTACATTTTGCCACAGTAATTTCTCAGCTAGTTAGAATACACTTTTGAGTAATTTGGTAAGTAGTAGTACATTTTTCTGAATTCTTCCATAGCTAAGAATAGCCCTCTGGTACCATGTCACATAGAAAAAAAGAACTTTGGCTGGTAGGTGAGTTTCACAAAACTCTCCAGACATTTCTGTCCCGCAGGAAAGTCATTCCAGCAAAGAACATCAGAGAATGAACTCAGAATGAGTGTGGGAGGTGTGACCAAGTGAAGGGCTAATGGACTGCCAGCCAGAACAATGGACTGATTGGCTGGTTGGTTAGGTTGGTTTGTGAAAGGAATGGGCCAAAGGGAAGAAGGGCACTCTCAAAGCGAAGGAGAGCCTTAAAATCAAAGCATCATATTGAAGTATGATGCTGACATTGACAGGGCTGGGGGAGAGGGGGGATTAAATGACACAATGTTGCAGCAAAGTTGGAAGCTGTTACAAGAACAGCTCTGAGCTATCCTTTCCCTTCCCTGCTGGCAGCTTGACCTGAATACATTCGCCAAGCCTGCTTTGTCATAAGCCAGGGTTTTGAACCATTCTTTGCATCAAGATTCAAACACATCTTATAGTGATGGATTGTTGTATATGAGAAATGAAAACAGTTAAGAGCAGTTTTTAGACAGATGCAGAAGATCAGCTATGCATTGTAGCCTGTCATTTCACTTTCAGAGCTTCTCAAATCCTTCCCTCTGCCTTTCATTCTCACTCCCATGGCAAACTGGGCCATGACCTCCTAAGGGAACTTCTGCCTCAGTCCCTCCCTCTCACCCCTCCTTCATTACCACTCCACCATTGTCACCAGCAGAATTGTTATCCTAGAAAACTGATGGGTTATCTCACTCTAGTCCTAGCTAAAAACAGGGCCTTCTTTGGCCCAACACCTCCCTCCAGACCCCTCATTTGGCCTTCATCATCAGTGTTTTCTTTCACTCACTTCACACATATTTACTGATTGCCTGCTATATGCGAAGGGCTGTTCCAGGCCCCCAAGAATAGAGCGGCAAAATGCATAATAACTCTTGCCCTCGTGAACTTTCTTCTTAAGGAGACAGACAATAAATAAAGATACACTGAATGTTGGCTGGTAGTGCTATGTGGGACATACATAAAGCAGGAGGTTGGTCAGGAGTAGGTGGCAGTGGCTTCCTGGAGATCACTGCATGCATTGGTGTGAGTGTACACCTGGAAGAAGCTGAGTAGGTGTCTAGGGGAAAGGAAAGAGTAATCACTGCAGATTGCAAAGGTCCTGCAGAACTGCAAGAGGCCAGTATGGCTGGGGCCATAGCGTGCAGGAGGCCATGGACACATCAGATAGGGTCTTCCAGATAGGTACTCCTGCCTTTAATCCTAGTGTGATGAGAACCAAGTGGCTCTGAAGGGAGTGCATGACAAGATATAACATGAGTCCACTCTTGCTATCTCCCTCCAAAGGGAGTAGGGACATCTCACAAGACTTTGGGTTGCTTTGTTTCCATTTTGTTCTTCGAGAAAGTGTCACTTTGTGTCCCAAGACAGCCTCAAACTCACTGTCTTCCTACTTCACCTGAAGAGTGGGATTACAATCATGTGCTGCCTGCCCTGGCCTGGCCTAAAAGGCTCCTCTTGGACATGCAAATCTCCCTTCTGTCTCAAATCCTTCAAACATCTAAACATCTAAACATCATCTAAACATCTAAACATCATCTCCTTTATGAAGCTTTTCTCATGTCCAGACCAAATGCTGATGCTGCTGGTAAATATCTGTGTTTCCCAGGAGCTCTGCCCTCTTCAAGGGAGACAGGAATTCTTTTTCTGTTTTCCCAGTGCCAGTGAATGGTTGAGTAAGACTGGGGAAAAAACCTATCTTAAGTTTAGTCCATAACCTACATAGTCTTTCTATTCTTATTTCATCATCTTTACACATTGATGTAATAATAATATGCATTTCCCTAACCCTGGGTTAGCTTCTGTCGTCAGAGTTTTTCTGGGAAATTGATAGTGTGATCATACACCGTGTTCCAGCATCAGGAGAGGCAGACTGTCACAGCCACCCTGCGCCCTGGATCTTAACGGAACACCTGCTTTGCGTATTTGGCAGGAGCTGGCAGAGCAGAAATGTTCTCTTAAGCAAATCACATTTATTCATGCATTTGAAGTAGAAAATCTTACAGCAAGTGAC